TTGACTTCTTTTCTGGACAGCCCCCTGCTTTCCTGCTTATCCTTCTCTGAGATTGTAACTTGCTTATCTTCTTGGGAGAATTACCTTCTCTGTAAACATAGAAGAAAAAATCTCTAAATATATACATGTGAGAGGGATTTGATCTTCAGGGTTTTCAGGCTTTTCAGAACAGCTTGATGTCATAATCTTTTCAATCGCTTCTTCTATGGCAGTTGCTATTGTTGACTTTTTTTTTTACCCAGAGATATCACGTGGGATTGTTCTTGTTTCTGGGCTCTCCCCCCCTTTATCATATCGGGCCTGTGAGGCCCAGTTTAGCCTCGTTTGTTTGATAAGTTTTGGGCTGGGCTCTTCTGGTTTTTTGGGCTTCCATTTTTCTTTGATTTTCTGCAGCCTCGCTTTCGCTGGGCTGGGTGTGTCAATTTTTAGGCCCAAACAGGTGGTTGTGGTGGTGGTGGTGGCGGTGGTTGTGGAGGTAGTAAATGTGGTGGTGCAAGTGGTGGAGTTGGATGTAAAAGTGGAGGTGGTGTCATTTTTTTAAAATAAATGATGATATTTTGAGAATTAAAAAATTCATTAAATGTTCATCTCTGCTTCTTTTGAAAGCAACTTTGAAAAGCAACCCAGAGTCAGCTTTTAAAAGCTGCTGTCAAAAAGCCACTGCTTTTAAAATAATCGGGATATTTTAATTTTACCAAACACCTTAAACTGCTTAACTTTAAAGTTAAGCAGGTTTTTGGCCAAAAAAAGCAATCCCAAACGAGGCCTAAATCAAAACGGGCATTTTACCCAAATCAAAATGGTTTACTCAATTTTCTTATTTATTGTAAATTCTTACCTTCTCCCGTACTATACACCTCTCCCTATCATATCAAACCTTATATAAAATCCTAACCTCTCTTGGTAAGTTTGGAAGAGGAAATATAAATATACTAAAGAATTCATAAATGATGGTATTTAAAATTATAGAAATTAATATTTTAGAATTTGTAAATTTTTTTGTTTAGATAATCTAAAAATATAATAAATTTAACACGAAATTTAACATTTATGTGGTAGTGGTGGTGTCATCATGTGTGATATTGGTGGTGCGGTTGCTAGTGGTAAGAGCATCCACAATGATGCTCTCTATTTCTTAGCTAAAATTTGGCTAAGAATATAAGAAAGCTATTTTAGGAGCTCTCTAAAAAAATTTAACTTCAACCATACTCCATAATTTGGAGAGTCATAAATGCTATAACTCTTTTTTGATTGGTCCATCTCTATTAAAAAATAAAATAAAAAATAGTTAACATTAAATACATGTTTGAAATACTCATTAAATAAAGCAGCATTAAATTATAGGGAGCCACTAGGAGTCCTTTCTCTCTCCTCAGATTTAGAAGCTCCTAGAGGACCTCCTATTTTAGGAGGTGAATAGGGAGCATGGTTGGAGTTGTATTTTTACAATTCCTCCCTAAAATTTGTCTAAGGAGGTGATTTAGGGAGCCTATTGTGGATGCTCTAAGGTGGTGGTGAGATGGGAGTGGTAGCAGTAATTGAGGTAGGGTGGTGGCATAAATGTTGGTTGGGTTATGGTATGGTGGGGGTGTTTGTGGTGATGATGATGGTGGTGGTATCCTTGGCCATGAATTGAATAATTTAAGAGCCAAGCTAAAATTGAGGACCATTTCTAGAGAGACTGCTGCTCTTTACTCTAATTTACCTATTTTTCTATGGAAAGAAAGCAGTCTCTTTGTTCTTAAATAGTGAAAAATGACATATTCCCTTTTTTCCTTCAGAGAAATGAAAGGAGGTGGAAGGGAGGTAACCTCTCTTTCAAAGATTATTCTATTTAAGCGATTTAACATTGATGATATATGCAATCTTGCTGAGAAGTTTTATCCTGAAGAAACTGAGTTGCATGCTTTAAATCAACAATTGGGATTTTATAAGATTGATATGGACTGTCTTCCAGCCTTCAAGAATCTCGATTCCATTCCTGAATTGCTGAAGTGTTTACTTCACACAAGGTTAGCACACACCTACCGTTTGGTTGATAGATTGATTCATTTGGTGTTAACTCTTCCTGTTTCTACAACAACAACAGAACGTGCATTTTCATCTATAAAACTTATCAAAAATAGACTTAGGAACAAGATTGAGGATGAGTTTCTTGTTGATTGTATGATACTTCACATTGAAAAGGAATTTGTTGATAATATTGATAATGAATCACTCATTAGTGATTTTAACTCTTTGAAGTCTCGAAGGGTGCAACTTAAATAGTTTTATTTTGTATTTGCATTGTGTATTTATTTATTGTTGCCTTTATTTACTAGTTTCTATCTTATGTACTATATGCATTTTGAGGGATACGGCTCATTATGCCCCCCCTAACTAGGTGTATTATTTTTTGTTATTAATTAAATTCACTCGTGTCGTTGAGTTTTATTGTAAGGTAAATCCAGCCCTCGCCATCTGTCCCTGGTCAGGAGCCGTATCCCTCAAAATGCATATACATTTTTGGGTGGTAGTATAAATGTAAAAAAAAGATACACATGCATCATTTTATACATTTTTGGGTGGTAGTATAAATGTACATCGTTTTACACCTGACCATTGAAGGGACTTTCGACGATATTAAATGTAAATATAGCATACAACTGCCTTTACACCTAATCATTGTGGATGCTCTAAGTAAATGCAGTGTATTTAAGATGTAACAATTAGTCTGAGTTTCAAAAAGAAACATCCTAAAGAGAAAATTCTATGAGTTGTAGCATCAAGAAAGTAAATAAAACTATGCTCTTATATAATTTGGTACTCTCATATTTGCTCTATTTTACAATATGTTACGTTATCAACATGAAAGTAATATATTTTCCTTACTGTAAATTTTCTCAACTGCAATTTGGTTGTAAAGGGAATTAAGTGCAAATTGAGCAAAATTAAGAGAAACGCACCGTCTTAACCGACTTTCATCTCTCGCTGTGACATCTACACTTGTTGTGAGCGTGCGTTTCAGTTCTCTCTTCCAAGCCCTAATCTGTTGCTCCTTCCACCTTTCCTCTTCAGGTAAACTCGTCACAGTCTCCAACTTTCCTTTGGTTTCCTTTGGTTTCTGAGCAAACAAACATCGCTTGAGTTGTCCATGTATGTTAACTTTGTTGAAGAAAATTTAATTGTACCGTAGAAAGCCTTGTACTTTATGCAACTGATAGGCATTTTCATGGTTAACAGCATGTCGAGGCCGCTCTCAAAGTTGCTCTTCAAGGGAATTTCAGGCTTCCGGGCTGCCCGTTCTAGTGAAATTGTAAGATTCGACATATGGGTTTGTTTTGGTTCAGTTCTAATTTCAGCTGAAATGGGCAAATCGGATTGTGGGCTTGTTTCAGTGCAGAATTGATTTGATTGTGTATGCGTATTATGTATCTGTGCATGTAACTGGATCAAGTGATAGCATGTGTGTGTGTTTGTGTGTATATTTGTATTGAATTCATCAATTCCATGTCTACAGTTTTAGCTTTGTTTGAATGTTCGTACTTCGTACTCACCAAGGATAGCAGTAAAATTCTTTTAATTGGTAGTAGGCATTTGGATCCTTTTATCAAAATGGATTGAGATACTCGACCTGTGTGCGCAATTATCCCAACACACATGACGATTGTAGACTTGTGTCAGTGCAGAATTGATTTGATTGTGTGCATATTCTGTATTTTTGCATAAATAACTGGGGGATAGCATGTGTGTGTGCTTGTGCGTTTATTAGTTTTGAATTCATGAATTCCACGTCTTCAGTGTTAGCTTACTTTGTTCGAATGTTCATACTTCGTAATCCCCAAGGATAGCAGTTCAATGTTTTCTTTTAATTGGTAGTAGGTATCTGGATCCTTTTATCAAAATGGAATGAGATACTCGACCTCTGTGCCTAATGACACCGACACACATGACGATTTTAAACCCGCTAATAAGTTCGACGGTTCTGGCCTTAGCTTGAAGGAACTTGTTGAACAGGTAAATATATGCCAAACTAATCTTCTTGATATGAGCTCCTTGTTTCCCTTTGTTATCCCGACCAAAGTTCGCTTTTCTTTAAGTTAATAGTTCTGGTCTGTTTCTGGTGTAGGATGTAAAGGACAACCCTGTAATGCTTTATATGAAAGGAGTGCCTGAGGTTCCCCAATGTGGATTCAGCTCACTTGCAGTAAGAGTGTTAAAACAATATGGTAAGTCTTGAAATGCTCAGTTTGTATTCTAACTATCTTTCATCCCTTGGTTTAGTTCACCAAAGTCAAATTTATGAAATAAGAACAAAAGATAACTAAACTAAACCGTAGTGATGTTCACGGTCTTCAAATTGTTCATATTTGTCATCACAGTGGAGAGGCCTTTAGCTAAAGATAGACAGCTAAAAGGCTTGACAGTTTTGAACATATACTCACAAGCTGATATGATGATTGTTGCATAAAAAGTCGGTTTCGTCTAAACGAAACTTAGAAATTCAGAATTTTGATCAACTTTGAAGAAATTGGTCATATGTTCCTGGCTGTAGACAAACCTTACTCGATTGAACCAGTTAAAAATCTTTAGTTGATCTTTGTTGTTACAGCAGCTTGTTGACTTATTATAATGAACGTGCATTGCTGCTAATGATCTTATTATGATAATCTTTATCCATACAGATGTTCCTTTGAGTGCTAGGAATATTTTGGAAGATCCTGAGCTCAAAACTGCTGTAAAAGCGTTTAGGTAAGGGTCCATTCTATGAAATTTTTGTTTTTAGCTTTAAGTTTTGGTTTTTTCGGTTACAGATGAAGAGGAAAGATAAGAATTAAATGAGGAGGTAGACAAGAAAGGAGAGAAGTGGGGGAGACATGAAAGAAAATTTATAAAACTACAAGTTAAAAAGACAAAAACTGTTTCTAGTTTCTCTTCTCACTTTGCTCTCCTTTTCCCTGCACTATCTTTATTTAAAATAAAAAACAAAACCATTATGAAACTGGTTCTAAGTTCATTCATTTCAGCATTTTCCTGCTTTGTTTTAAATTCCTTAGGCTAGCCGAACCTTTAAAAGTACAAAAGGTAAATAAACTTTTTCGTAAAAATTCAGCCTTTTTTTTTTCATCATTAAAAACGAAAAGAAATCATGGTTGGATAATACACAGTCTATTCTAGGTTTCATCAGGAAAGTTCCCTTATTTTTTAGATTGAGACAATCTGTTATTTCAATTACCATTCATATATGTTAAATTATATGCAGTCCTTATCTTGCCTTGATTTAATATTTGGTGTGCCTTCTATGTCAAACATCAATGGTCTTGCTTATGTTTATGATGCATGTTGATTATCTGATGACATTATCCATAGTCTTGGAATTTTGTACTCAGCTGTTAATGCATCGTTCCGTGGTTGTCCAGAGACAAGGCTGTTGGTTATGATAAACTTAATCAGAAATCCTTTTGGCCTCATAAATTTTTATATTATTGATTCAGAGTGCACATACTTATGCCTGGTAAACTTGTTTTCTCAATCTTGTTTTTTTCCTATGCAGCCACTGGCCAACATTTCCACAGATATTCATCAAGGGGGAGTTCATTGGAGGGTCAGATATAATTCTCAATATGCACCAGGTTAGTGCTTATAACATTAGTACTTTATTATTGTATTTTAAATTTAAAGCTTTGCATTGCTCTGATACTATGATCTATCCTATGTAGTCTGGTGAGCTCAAGGAAAAGCTCAAGGATATTGCAGTCAATCAAGAGAAGTCTGCATAAGATAAATTATGAGAGGGTAGGTTAAATGTTATCTGTGTAATCTTTTGTTGATAAAAGATGACTAGATATGTGGTTATCCTTGTTTCCTTCAAAGTTGATAAACCTAATTTGCAATAAATGTCAGCTTAATATTCTCTTTTCATCTTCAACCTTCATGAAATATGTCAAAGTGTTCATGCGGGCTTCTATTTACTATTTCACCCAGTGTGCCCAAAGTGGACCTCTGAGGAAACATACTGTTTGGGCCAATGACTTTTCAATAGAGCCAAATTCAGGAGTCTTGAAAAGCCTGAAAATTACAACATTGCCACCGAAGTTTGCGTCTCTGAAAACCATATTGCAAGGATAGTAATAGTATTTTACAACTGGTCCTATTTGGTATTTTCCCTTTAATTTGTAGGTGGTTGTGTTTATATATAAAATCAAGGCTAGAAACGGGGTTCGTTATAAATATCTATTAAAGGAAACCTCTTTCAAGGAATCACTTAAATAAAATTTCAGTTTTTATTTATAGGACTTCAGGTTCTGATTTGAATTTCATACAGAATTGCATGTTAACGTAATTCATGAAACGAAAAAAATTGAAAAGTATTTATGCATCTCTTATGCAATGGACTACTTTAAAAAACATTTTAAAGTTAATAATCATATTTTTGTATTTAGCACATGCAAGTGATGTCAAGTATGTAGATGGTGGCAACGGAGTCTAGTCCAGTAAAAAATAGCCTTAATGTGTAGACGAGTGGTCTTAGAGTTCGAATTTCCATGGCACTTTGGTAGTGTGTAGGTCAGTAAAAAATGGCCCAAGTCTGATGGGCTAGCTCGAATTCAGCTCTATTGTAAAAGGGAAATGCTAGCAACATTTTCTTTAACATTTTTCTTTAGACCTTATCTCTTCTCCTCTTGACATATGTCACTATCTTTACACTTCAAATAATGTCATTAATGCATCACACAAGCTAAGTTTTGTTTTCCAAATTTCCCCTTATTAAATATATTGACTTTTTTTACAAGGGTAATTTTTTTAAAACTTTCTTACCACATTGCTATAAACAAATGTTTTTTAATTAACTATTGTGTAATAAAATATTTTATCACTTTATATTTTAAAAATGTATTTTTATTTTCAATGGATTTTGGTATTATTGATATTTATCTTTTACTATTATGCTTTTTTTTTTTGGCTTATCTTAACATTTAAATACCTGAAAATAATAACTACAACATATCTTTTCGTCAAATTACTATAAATTTGTTATCATGGAAGTGACATTATTTTTGTTGTGGAAAAAAACTCTTTGAAAAAAAAAACTTTTTAGAATAAAAAGGGCAGTTTTTATTATTTAATTTTTTTTTAATAAGGTGGTAACAAAATTGTAAAAAAAATTAATACATTTAATAAGGATAAGACTTGGAAAACAAAAATTAGCTTGTGGGATACATTAATGACATTGTTTTTAGTATACGAAAGTGACACATGTAATAAAGAAAATGGAGAATGTCCAAAGAAAAATGTTAGAGAGAGTTACTAGTATTCTTTAGTATGGAAAGGATAGGGCATGGGCATTGCTTGTATTTTTTATTTCTTAAGTATGTGGATGGGATGGGATGGAAAGAACATTAGATTGGGCAAAAATGGACCAAACAAGAAATATTCAAACCAATCACTCATTGACTAGATCCTCCGAATGGGCATAGCAACCTGTCATGTTTCAGTATTTAAGGGCTTCGGCCATAGCTTGAAAGTGTCAACTTCCTTTTCAGTCCAATCAAGTAGCTATAGGCTCAATAGTTACACGATTAGGTATGTTCCTGTCTTGCAAATGCAACAAATCTCACCACCCAAAACACAAGTTGGCAATATTTTTTTTCTTTTTGGGTTATCATTGACATATCATAATGCCATACAAGTCAAATTTCAATCTAAAAAAAAATGGAATATGGTAAATTACAGAACCATATACATGAATGATTATACATCAAATATTCATCTTCCAGGGAATACCGCTTTTATGTTTTGCTTGGGTTTGAAGGTACTCTATTGTATATAACAATAGTTTCAAATCCGAGAAATAAATGTTGGTACGCTTGTACTTAAAATAATTAACAGCATTTGAGCTCCTAGATTCGATTACGCAATTCTATATCGGATAATATTAGTACAACTAGGACACTTAAAAGAATGAGCTAAGAGGACGTGGACCCCAAGACTCGAAAATAATCTGAGGCACCTTACATTATTAAGCATGCTTGGTGAATAAAAATAGAAATAAAAACGAAGGGAGCAATTGTCAAATTGCAGCCTCTGCTTAAGGATTCAAATTCAACACATCATGTCTGCCCAAACCTGAACAACCAAAGGGCCCAAAGGGGACCAAGCATGTGGGGAAGGAAGGGAGAGAAAGCCAACGCGTCACAAGTCTCACCACACAATGGAATTGAAAACATCAATGTCACGTATTTTCCCATGCTTTAAAGAAATCAGCTCATTAGGGTTGGGCTTGTGTCTTGAATTGGATTGGTAAGATCGAGTTCATGGTAAGATGGGACGCAAGGGGACCGGCACTCTTCTTAATTTCATCAATCTCTTGTGTTATCCAACTCAAATGTCGATCTTAAATTTCCAAAATGAAACAAGTGGACGACATGTCATTTCAACCAACGGCCGAGATCGAGTTGCTCGCGTGAGATGCACTCTGGTCGGGTCCGCGTCGCGGAAGCTTAGCGCTAATACTACTTCGTTTTGCGATCATGTGAACTCTTCGTCAATGCCCTCCATCCAATTGCGTAGCACTACATGGCTCATTGTCACACCATGCAAGTGATGCATCTGCATGTTCGGGTTGTCCATTCCACCAGATGGACGTCTGCAATCGTGCCACGTGTCAGTCTTATTGAAAAAAAAAAATAGTTTTAAAATTTCAAAATTCCATCAAAATATCCTGATCTCAGAAAAATGAGTAGTGCTATACTTAAAATATTCATATCTCACATTTTCATACTATCTTATGTGGCAGATGAAGTGGATAGTCACATCAATTAAAAAGTGTCAATAAATCATAAAAGATAAGAAAACATTAAATTAATTTTAATTGATGAGTTGTCCACATCATCTGCCACATAAGGTGATATAAGAATGTGGTATACAAATGTGGTAAAAGTAGTATTATTCCAAACAAATACTACAAACTATGAATCGCCTCTACTAATTTCAAATGATCCCAAACTAATTCAACTTAATCTCCAAATTCTTCATTTATCATCAAAATTGGTTTTCCAACGTTCCTACTCTGATGATCTTCCAATGGACGTTCATCATACTAAGAGGCCAATCTTGGTCTCCCCTACCTTGTTAGTCCGTTGCATGTGTGGTACCCTTTCCTCACTCGGGCTTAGTTTCTTAAGAAGGTTTTAATGAGACCACTGTAAACATACTGGTTTCTTTTGTGCTGTTCCTGGAATGAATTTCTCTTCTAAAAAACGGATAGTGACTTGGCTATTAAGTACATATATATATAAGTACATGAAAGGGGGTATTTTTGGGTGTCGTAATCTATATGAAAGGGTTTTGTTATGCATTCTTGTTCACAAAGTGATATTTTTTATTAAAAAAATTCTCCAACTCATGAAAGGCGCCTCCATTGCTCTTGGCAGGTCTTGTCCAAGTTGAGGTCCAGTGGTGAGCTGACACGTGAGATTAGGGCCGGCATTTAGACCGAAAATCGAAAAACCGCAAATACCAACCGAGGTTTTACTGCATCTAAACCAACCTATCATGAAAAGTGACCGCAATATGCGATTGCAGTTGCGGTTCTACATTTTCAAATAATGCAGTATATTGGAAACCACAATATAATTTAATTAATTATTAAAATAAATACCTATAATTATTTTATATTAACTAACAAAGGCTAGGACTTCATCATTTATATGAATCTTTCTCTCTTCTCTCTTATCACTTCTTCTTTTTCTTTTTATTCTCCCTCTCTCTCTCTCTCATCTTCTTCTTCTCTATCGGACTCACTTAGGCTTTGAATGTATTACTAATGAAGTGTATTCTCCGGCAATCTCTTGAAGTTCCCTCTATTGTTTTTTTTTTAAAAAAAAAAATCTCAACCTTGAAGAAATATCATTTGAATATTTAGTGAATTAATATAACTTAATTAGTAAATAATTAAACTTTTATCTTGTAGGAACCTGGGTTTCAATTAGTATTGCAAACTCGTCGCTTGTGTTGATAATTTTCTTAGGTTGTTATCAGTGGATTAGCCAAGATAATCTCTAACTTGCAATCAACTATTTGGTTTTTAATAATAAAGTTCATTATCTCTATATATAAGTTAAAGAATCATTGTCAATGATAAAAAGTTCTGCTTATTTCAGCAGTATTTTTAAGCATGAGCAGTTTTTTTTTTTATTGATAGAAAGTTCTGTAATGTTATTTTGTTCCCTATACTGACCGCAATATACCGACAATTGCGGTATACCACAATAAGTAGATCAGTTTATGGTTTGTCTTTTTACCATACCGTAATATGTCGGTCGGTCAGTTTACAGTTTCATTGAAAAATTGCGGTAATCGAACTGCAACCAACCCTAAGTGGTCAGTACCCTATAACAACTCGGCCAGAGGGGAGACAAACGTTGGTTGGTTAGGTGCCAAGTCCGCTTCCACGTGGCATAATATTACTATTTTATTCGGCAGGGTAAGTCCCACATGTCAACATATTTGAAACATTATAGATGATAAATTGAGAGTGGATGACAAGTGAAAGAAACAATTTCTTTTTGTTAGAAAAGATATGTAGTCAAGGACACAAATATTTCTTCCCCTACACATGACGTTCTCATCACTACAACACACAGTACAAGATGCAGAGTCACCTAACTGTAAAATGCAAGAATTCCTTTTGTTTTGTCTTTTTTCCTTTTTATATTCCCCAACCAAAAACAATGATGCAAGGATCCCCAAAATGGACCTACTAGTCAATAATAATTAAATTGGGATTTTTATTCACTTTACCAAAAACATAAAAAGATTGTGATTTATTCACCAAAGGAGATAATTTTTGGCTTCCCTATTTCCCGATCAAACAAGTTACTGGAAAGTTGACACAACGGGACCCAATGTACCAAACTTTATCGAGTC